CAATGGACATGAGTTTGGGTAAACTCCAGGAGTTGATGATGGATAGGGAGGCCTGGCGTGCTGCGGTTCATGGGGTGGCAAAGAGTCAGACATGACTGAACAACTGAACTGAACTGATTCCAGTGAAAAGACCAAAATAGAAACCTGTTCCTCCAAGCACTAAGTAGCATCTTAACATTCAGGTAGTTCTCTGTGGTCACATGAGAGATGCCTTTGTAGCGCATCGAGATTGGTTTCATCTTGAAATCACTGTGAACCGAGAAAAGGGCTGCGCACAAAACTAAGGGGCCTGGTTTTAAGAATCTCCTTAGAAATTGGGGAGAAAGGAAAGCCTGTAATTAGGGTTTGTGAGCTTCTGCTCTGGGATGATGTCATCACCGGCGTTCGGTGCCAGGAATCAGAGCTCACCGCTCTTTAATAATTCAATAGGGGCTTGCCTGGGAATTTCTCATCTTGGGAATTAGCGAGCAACAAATCTACTTTGTAGGTACCGGATTGGCTGTGGGGAGAAAGAAACATTAAAATGACCTTGTAAGTGGGAGTCATGCGAAGAAACCTAGCCCTGTAGTCCTCCACTAGAATCATAAGGATGGGACCTTAATACTTTGTCAATCCTGCCCGGGTCCCCTTCCTGCCATTTTCCAGCTGAGAAACTGAAGCTAAGAAGGGGAAGACACAAAAGTGGCTATTCCTTTGCCCGGAGACCTGGCAGCCTGAGCCCCATTTCAGGGCTTTATCTTCTTTATTATCCTGTGCCCCACCCCCATCAACTTCCAAACTCTGACTGCAAGGATGCTCAGAACCTCACCTACCTGGATGCCACCTAAGTCATTCCCAGGGACCCCGGGACACCCATTCATATTACAAGAGCTTCTAGACAGTGCAGAGCCTGCGGGGAAAGGAATGGCCATCCAGAGAAGCTTTCTGGGCTACCGGTGCCATTGTGCAGAGACACTGTAGCAAAACCAGCAGAACCGGTTCTGGGAGGAAAAACTGCAGGAGTTCTGCCAGAACCACACTGCCCTTGAGACTGGCAACCTGGAGTTAATCCCACAACCTCATTTTAGCGAACAGTGTTAACACCTTCCCTGGCCAAATTTTCTCCTGTAATTAAATTAAACTAAGTGATTACAGTTTCACGTTCTTTCTTTACTTCTGTTCCCACTAAAGGAGAGGTAAGAATAGAATGTAGGTCAGCAACAAAAGACAAGAGTCGTGTTCTGGAAAAAATCCATAGATCTTGTCATCAGGTCTTGATGATGCATATGTGGGGAGACTACCAAATATGAGACTGTTTTATTCTATTTTTTTAGTAAATGCACCAAAACCAAAAGTGAAAGTGAAAGCCGGTCAGTCGTGTCCGACTCTTTGTGAACTCGTGGACTGTGGTCCACCAGGCTTCTCTGTTCAGGGGTTTCTCCAAGCAAGAACACTGGAGTGGGTAGCCATTCCCTTCTCCAGGGGATCTTCCTGACCTAGGGATTGAACCTCGGTCTCTAGCATTGCAGGCAGATTCTTTACTATCTGAACTACCAGGGAAGCCAAATGTCCAAATAAAAGCTATCTTGGGAAGACACATGGTTTTCTCAAATGATACTTACATAACTCAAAGAACATTTGTAGCATTTTTTTCAGATATTGCCTATGTCAAAGTTGGTCTTATGCAAATATATATATATTTGTATGTATGTATGTTTATATTTGTATACATATATATAAAATTTTTACCCTTGAAATGGTATGATTTAAATTGTTGGTATCTATTTACATTTGGACCCAATGATTCCGATTTTTAAAAAAATATCTTCAAAGATCATGATTTACTACCACTGTGTGTGTTCCAAAGGAAGGCACTGCAACTCTGTATGGGCACCAACTCACCCTCTGTGCAACCTGCTGCCAAAGGAACCAGCGGATGGTGATGGCGTTGCTGACTGCCCCCTTCCTGCCTGTGTTAACCTCCCTTGTGTCACTACTTTCCCTAACACTGAAAGCCCGTAAAGGGGTAAACTGCATATTTGGTTGCTTGAGAGGGTGTGATTCAGGCATGAAAACTCAATGTCCATGAGGACCAGGCAAGGGAAGCTCCAGGAGGGAGAAGGGCAGAGAAAGCATTCAAGAGAACAGTTGGTGCCTCACAAGAGCCACTCACAGCCTTGTAAACACTTGGGCTAATGTTGCCAGAGTCCAAAAGAATCTGGAAACTTGGATTAAAAAAAAAAATCTGATTATTAAATGCAGGCAAGATATTTTAAAATTTGGAATAAAAGTACTTAAAGTGCATTAAACACACATACATTTATGTCCTGTGGACCATATGAAGGTGGTGGGTCACAAATTTGTGTCCTCTGGCCACACCAAAACCAAAACAACAGGTGCCATTGAATGGGGCCCCAATCCTGAAGCCTCCAATGGATTTCTGTGTGGCTGTTACCCACAGGAACCTGTAGGCCAATCTAACTGCTCCCGAGAAGAAGTCCACAATATGAAAATTATAAACAATTCCACCATGAGAGGGACACCTTTCATGACTTGCTTTGCTGTTGTTTCATTGCTAAGTCACGTCCAACTCTTTTGGGACCCCATGGACTGCCAGGCTCCTCTGTCCATGGGATTTCCCAGGCAAGAATACTGGAGCGGGTTGCCGTTTCCTTCTCCAAGGGATCTTCCGAACCAGGGATCAAACCTACGTCTCCTGCCTCTCCTGCATTGGCAGGTAAATTCCTTACCACTGAGCCACCTGGGAAGCCCTTTATATGCCTTGCTTTGTTGAAAACTTTTTCCCAGTTGTGTAATTGTGGGGTTATTTTTGCAGCCTGCTTATTATAAAATCAATTATATTTAAAGAAAAACCTTATGTCCTACAGCCTGAAAAAAAAAAAATCTTCTCAGCCTACCTAATGAAACGAATTTAACTTTTATGGATTTTCTTTAAAAGTTCTTTCAGTAGTTCAGCAAAATTCTTTGGAACTATTTCTATTACTTATCCAGACTGTACACGATTACAACTACCAAATAATAGCTACTAAAAATATGTATTAAAGAAACAAGTTGTGCTACAACAAGCAAGTACTGCCATTTGTCAAAGCACATGTGGGTGTAAATGTGTCAGCCTGGAACAATACACATGTACAAACACACATATTTAAACAAGACAAGTGAGCCCTGCCTATGGGAAATGAAAGAAAAGTCAACTCAACCCCAAATTAACTATCTCGTTAGTTGACCAGAGAGCCACCATCATTCAAGATGTCCCTTCCGGTTTCGGCATTTTCTTTAAAAGGTTCTATTGACTGGTGACAGTTAACACATTCCCATTCTAGCAACTTATTGTCAGATTCCATGAAAAGGAACATGAGGGTTGCAGTTTCAGCTCGCTTTACCGTGACAGGGTATTCCAAAGGGAGGACCCCGTTGTCTTCACAGTGGACGGCTGTGCTTGGACCTGCCTCTCAGTCCTCACACACTGCTTCCCCTACCTCCCTCGGAGGCTGAGTTTTCACACATCAAACCCCCCAAGCACATGCTTGGCACAGCAGAGACAATTGGAAAAATTGTTTTGTTTTTGCTTTGTGTGAGGGGACCGAAGCCCAGAGGGGTCAGATGACTTGCCAAGGATTCCAAGTCCGGGCCCTGACGCCAGCAGGCTGCCTCTCCCTTACCCAGCCCAGTAATCTCGCCTCTGGGAGAAGCAAAGGGTCATGAGGAGAAAGCCCCAGGCTCGGGTGAGAAACTCGAAGCAAAAACAGAGGAAAGCCTTGAGCAAAAGCTCTTCCTGCCCTTCTGTGCGGTCCCCGAGTTCCCACTGCATCGCAAGGCCTCCCTCCTTCCCGCGGATGCACCGAGCCCCGGGACGTTTCCTCGGCCGCTCCGGACCTCTGTCTCTGCTTGCCCATTTAGGTCACCTTTCTTGGGCCTAACGCCAGTTTCATTTACTTTGTTTTATACCTGAGTGAAATGAGACACTGAGCAATTCATCTTCATCTCTAAATCATGCCCACGAACTCCCATCCAGTTTCCTTTCTCACCCGGCTCCCTCTGCTCGCAGACAATGAAGCATTGAAAGTGGTTGTTTACGTTGACCTTTTCATTAATTCGAAGACAAAGTCTTCTAACGCCCGCCTACATGGTACGTAACCGAAGCAGAAAACAAGCTTAGGGTTCACCTGAAACCTTCCCTTTGGCGCAAAATGAAGCTCAAGAATCAGAAGGTACAGAACCCAGGATGAAGAGTGGGCACAGCCACAAAGTTCAGTTTCCATACACTCGGAGACTCGTGGCTCTGAGTATCCACAAGACTTGCTTTTTTTTACCCAAATCCATGCAACGGTGGATGTCTTTTCTCAGGATGCACCTGACCAGAGATTTTTACCTTTGCCCTTTTTAACTGTGCTGGCACCAGACAGAAATAAGAAAAGCCTAAGGTCAACAGGAAAGAAATGGCTCAAGGTCACAGTGGTGGCTTTTCCTCAGGGAGTGAAGTTGAGAGACCTGCAGCCCTGCTTCCTGATCCCTCTTTGACCAGGTGAAGCCTGGAAGAGGCAGGAGTCGGGGCGGGGTGGCCCAGCTGCTTACCTGTGCAGACAGAAGCTCTGAACGCTATCCTGCCTCTGAAGAAGGAGGCAGTTGCAGAGGTGTTTGGGGAAACTTCAGTACAGGGAGAAAAGGATTTTAGGCCCAGCCCTGTCAGCCCCAAGTGATAAAATGGAGCGTGGGGGCCTGGAGGAATCGGGAGGGACAAGGGGCCTGGCCCTTTCAGCGGGAGGCCCCAGAGAAACAGGTACACCCCTTTGCCTGTTAAAAGGCAATTGATTTAGCTTCTCAGTAACTGAATGTGTGTGACTTCTAGAGAAACCCAATAGGTTCATTTCCCGTTTTTCTGGATGAAGTTAACAGATCTTTCTCTACTCACAGAGGCTTTTGTCAAAGAATCCACTGCAGAGAAAGGATGTGATACTTAAAAGGTATGACCAATGAATCAATGCTACTTTCTCACTCACTTTTGCTTCTTCATTCACGTCCCAGGTGAAGGAAACAGCATTATAGGCAATCTCTTCAATGTTGCCAATCGTATTAAAGCTCTCCTTGTAATCAGCTGTGACATGAAAAAAAAAAAAATTAAAAGTCAGTGTTACTGGTGACATGTATTAAACTATCATTTTCCAATGGGGAAACTGCAACTTTGCTTATTCAGCTGGCTGTTGCCATGGCAACAGTTAGGATTTGTGCTTATGGATAATCTTTTACTACTATTTACTCTCTAAGAATGTGAGCCCATTCCTCTATTAAAACAGTAAATCTAGGAGAAGCAGTGTTCCTAACTGATTTGTTCATTAGTTTCATTTTTCACTCGGTTTATAAATTTCTTACCCCTGAGTCCCTTGTCACCTACCCACTCCCTCTCCTACTCTTTTCTGCCACTTAATTTTGCCTGCAGTGCCGGACTATTTCATAGGGATCGTTCTGTAGGGCAGAATAATCTATCAGCCAGGCAGTGTCTTCAGGGCTTCAGTAAAGAAATACAGGAGAGTGCAGAAAAATTTATTTTTTTTAATTTCTTTTTGGATTTAGGTACAGAGAATTGAGTCAATCTGATTCAGTTCATTACCATCCACCTGTCAACTTAAGGCCCTCTCATTTACTTATATAATATGTATTTATTCCTTTTTATTTCCTCTATCCCCCTGCCCCCACAATAGCTATTGACAGGCTTGCTCTATACCCTTATGAAATAAGTTGGGTTGATTTGCCTGTGTACATAGCTTTCATTTTCACAAACTGTGCCATGCTATGACCAGGGAAATTTCTGAAAATTCTGAAAGAGATGGGAATACCAGACCACCTGACCTGCCTCTTGAGAAACCTATATGCAGGTCAGGAAGCAACAGTTAGAACTGGACATGGAACAACAGACTGGTTCCAAATAGGAAAAGGAGTATGTCAAGACTGTATATTGTCACCTTGCTTATATTTAACTTCCATGCAGAGTACATCATGAGAAACACTGGGCTGGAAGAAGCACAAGCTGAAATCAAGATTGCCAGGAGAAATATCAAGAACCTCCGATATGCAGATGACACCACCCTTATGGCAGAAAGTGAAGAGGAACTAAAAAGCCTCTTGATGAAAGTGAAAGAGGAGAGTGAAAAAGTTGGCTTAAAACTCAACATTCAGAATACTAAGATCATGGCATCTGGTCCCATCACTTCATGGGAATTAGATGGGGAAACAGTGGAAACAGTGTCAGACTTCATTTTGGGGGGCTCCAAAATCACTGCAGATGATGACTGCAGCCATTGAAATTAAAAGACACTTACTCCTTGGAAGGAAAGTTATGACCAACCTAGAGAGCATATTAAAAAGTAGAGATATTACTTTGCCAACAAAGGTCCGTCTAGTCAAGGCTATAGTTTTTCCAGTGGTCATGTATGGATGTGAGAGGTGGACTGTGAAGAAAGCTGAGCGCTGAAAAATTGATGCTTTTGAACTGTGGTGTTGGAGAAGACTCTTGAGAGTCCCTTGGACTGCAAGGAGATCCAACCAGTCCATCCTAAAGGAGATCAGTCCTGGGTGTTCACTAGAAGGACTGATGTTGAAGCTGAAACTCCAATACTTCGGCCACCTGATGTGAAGAGCTGACTCATTGGAAAAGACCCTGATGCTGGGAGGGATTGGGGGCAGGAGGAGAAGGGGATGACAGAGGATGAGATAACTGGATGGCGTCACCGACTCCATGGACATGAGTTTGAGTAATCTGGGAGTTGGTGATGGACAAGGAGGCTTGGCGTGCTACAATTCATGGGGTCGCAAAAAGTTGGACACGACTGAGCAACTGAACTGAACTGATGACCAGGGTTGCCAGATTTAGCAAATATTTGTACCATACTCTGAAAAAGTATTTGCTGTTTGTCCGAAATTCAAATTTAACTCTCTATTTTATCTGGCAACCCTCGCTATGGACCTTTTCAGATGTAACTGCTTTACTGGTTGCATGCCTAATCCTGGCTGTGGCTGCACAGAATTCCACGGTGACCATCAACCACAATTTACTTAGCCCCTCTCCCCAGAGATGGAGGCTTCAGTAGTCTCCAGCTCTCTGGTACCACAGACAACACTGTGAAAAAAATCCTTGGTCTTCTGTCTGCACTGTCACTGCCTGAGTTGGTCTTCAGGGGTAGACATGATATTCTTACTCTTAATCCTCACTACTACTTCCTAAGATTTTAGCTTATGCTCACATCTGGATTTTCCCTCTACTCTTGGCCTCCTTGGATATGATAACCTACCTTCATTCCAGCTCTTATGTACGAAATAAACATTGACCACATCTTGCTTGGCTGGCATCATGGTAAGGCCCATCTGCTTTTCTTTGAGGTCTGTTTCATTCACAGCTTGATCACCTAATCACGTATGTTCTTTTTATCTAAATTTCTGTAACTATTTTCTAAAATGAAAACTCTAAATATGTGCTTTTAATAATTTTTTAAGGGGAAAACACACACCATGACCTACAATGTCCTTCACAATTGGGCCCTGAATACTTCTCTGTGTTCATACTCCAGCCCTACAGTGGGGGTCAGAGGAAGGTACAACGCTGACGGTACTGGAATCTTTTTTGTTTATAAAATCTTTTCGAATATTTTTCTAAGTTGGGAGTGAGCTACGATGACTGACTTTCAGGGTGTATAAAGCATTCATTGTCTACAATATCTGACATGTTTCTAGTCAAATTCTCATTTCCTCACCCTGTGTCCTAAGTGGCCCTGTGACTCCAGGGTCGGTGGTTTCTTGAGGTTTCAGCAAGTTCTCTACGTAAATGCTGTAAATTCTTGTAAATTGAAAAATGAATAAATGAATTTTGTAAATTCATGTATCTGATCATTTTAGCCATTTTCTCCTCATTTATCGCAAAATCTAAATTCATGTGATCATTCACCAAAATTTTACTTACTTTTTCTTATTCATACAACACACTTTTTGTGAATTACACTGAAAGAAGCAGGGCTCCTATTTGTTTTTTCTATCCATAGTACAAATAATAAAACGAAGTTCATAATACTAATGAGCTCATAATAATCCATAATAAAACAAAGTCAGTTTGATTTTGTATTTAAAAGAAAAAAATTCTTATTATTACTGGGACCTGGATTGACGGTTAACTGCAGAAAAACCTACCTCAATGTGCTCTCAGAATAGCCTTGGATACATTCCTATAAAGGGTAATGTTGGTCTAGACCCTGACCAGAATTCTAGTTCCCCTTTTTCTCACCAAATTTCTACTTTGGGGGCCAATTCAGTGATGACATTACAATTGCATTTCTTCCATCACCTATGAGTTCAAGCATCTCTTCACATCCAGGATAGCCAAGCAGGTGTCTCCTTACAAAAGCTGCCTATTCATGCCCTTTGTCCATAATTTTATTCATTTCTCCAGGGAAACCTTAAGGCAAGACTATGGATCTTTACATTTTAACTAAAGCACACAGATTTTAACATAGGCGCTTGTGTGATCACCATAGGAAAGTCACAGACCATGAACAAATAAGAAAAATATTGAAAAGCAGGCACAATTTTCTCACGCACTACAAACACATCTGTGTAGCCTTCATTTTTCCTACCTCAGTCTCTGTCTCCCTTTCTCCAAATTATGTAAATATTTTATACAATATTGTAACAATTACTTTTTAATTTGCTTCTTGTCCCCTGTAATACATCTTCAGTATCTTCCCACGTCACTAAATAAAATTATGGAAAATAGTCTTAATGTCTAAGTACTATTATATTGGATTAAGATAAAATGCTATAAACTTTATTTTGCTCTTATTGATCCTATAAATGATGTCTAATACTTTGCTACCTTAAATAGCACTTCATCTAATTATCTTTATGGCAAAATAGCCCATACATACTTCACTTTTTCATTAATATATATTCTCAGAAGTGAAATTAATAGGTCAAAGGCAAAATATTTTCAAGGCTTTTAATTCAATTTGTCAAATTGCTCCTGGAAAGGTTAAAACAGTTTATATTCACAATAACTGTATGACTTCCTGTTTCCTCAAACTGTCTCTTTCCAAGTTGGTATGCTAAGCAGGTTACATTATTTTATTTGCAGTTCCTTGATTGCTAAAGAATAGAATAGTCTTCCATTTGGCTTCTGGTTCTTTGTGTTTCTTTATATTCTTTGTTTTTAAAATTTATTCATTTATTGTAACAGTTTATTGTTCTGTCTTTTGCTCATTTTTCTCTAAGGGAATTCAAATTTTCTTGATTTAAAGTAAATATTTAAAGTTAAGAGATAAAAGAGAAAGCAAAGGAAAACCATTTTATATCCTAAAATTTTAGAAGTCTTTATGACTATATTTCAGAAGATTTTAAGTGAAAACATGTGTTTTCAGCAGGCCAATTTCTTAAATTTTGAAATGAGAAAAGATCACTGAACTTAAACAAATTGGTCCCCTGATTCTTCATGCTATCTGTTTTAAAAAATAGTCTTATAATTTTGTTTTGAAATTTTAATAAGCCTTTTAAAAATAATCAATCATAAATTTAAAAAACAAATACCATATCTAGAAATAAAGAGAAATAAATAAAAGTTGTTTGGTCAAGCACTTATTCTAGATCTTACAAGTTTTTACTTTTCCATACCTTCTCTACCTGAAAAATTTCTCCCCTAAAAAAAATGTTAGCTTAGAAAAGTAAAGAATTTTAAAAACAAATGCAATACAAATACAAATAGAATGCTTTCTGGGTCCCCTAGTTTTGCACAGGGGATCTGTCAGTTTCTCTCCATCATGTTCCCTTGCTGTTGTTGCTGTGGAGTCACTAAGTCCTGTCCCACTCTTCTGCACCCCCATGGCCCAGCAGGCTCCTCTGTCCATGGGATTCTCCAGGTAAGAATACTCGAGTGGGTTGCCATTTCCTTCTCCAGGGGATCTTCCCAACCCAGGGATCAAACCTGAGTCTCCTGCATTGCAGGTGAACTCTTTACCACTGAGCTGCCTGGGAATCCAATTTCTCTTCCTCAGTCCACAAATACATTGAATAAATATTTGCTGTGTGTTCCCTATATACCAGGCAGCATCCTTACACTTG